TTTCAGACGACTTTGGCACAAACAGGTATTGTATGTGTGAGAGTAGGCTTGCCCTACGATCCACTAAGATTCATCCTGCGTTGTACGATGTGTTCTTTCCTCCTTCCTCCTATTCTCGCTTGCTTCCATGAAGCCATTTTCAATTCGCTTGCTCGGGGAAATAAACCCTGGTCGAGGTATTGCTGTGATCCACTTGAATGCTTATCAATGGAATTCAATCTTTGTGCATGCATGCGACTGTGTTGATGATGTGGCCGTGAGTTTTATTTCAATAATTATCTACTATAGAACTCAATGTGTGTGTGTGTGTGTGTGTGTGTGTGTGTGTGTGTGTGTGTGTGTGTGTGTGTGTGTGTCTGTCTGTCGATGGTGGTGCTGTGAGATTCATTCCAATGAATTTCGATAGAATTCAAACTCTCTATTTTCGTGCTGTGATAATCAATTAAGAGGGCCTGTTAACATTTATAACAACGGTGTCTTTGGCAGTCTTAATACTAGAATTATGACGAGCCTGTTGATTGTTTTCTCCTCCTTTTCTTTCTTGATGGAAGAATGACCTGGTGACTACTTCGCATGTTGCTCGACCAGTCATTGGATGCTGTCTTGGGGGGTGTGTCTGTTGCTTTAGGCTGTACAGCCGACAATTGCAGCACTTTTGTGTACTTGAATGGTCCTAGCAGAAAATATCCATCCACCTCACGCCGCTGATGGCCGGTGTGTATGGAAAGAGGCTACTACGACAGCGTTACAGCCTAACAGAGGACTCGCACACGAGCTACGAAGTTGCCAGGGGAAGACTTCCGTTGCAGGTAGCGATACACAAGCTGGACAACGACATCTCCTGCAGCGTCACAAATACGGCTATCACCCTTTCCTTCTGCAGATTCGGCAAGGAACATGCAGCACTTAGGGTGGGTGAGTCGCGAAACTACACTCTGCTCCACCCATTCGATTCATTTTCTTGCTCTGTAGTGGCAGCAGCAGCAGCAGCAGCCCTTAGAACACTAGACAAGCAGACTCCTTGGAGTCGACGCCCAGGTACGTTGCGCAAGCAAAGGCAATAGCAACTGCAGCAGCAGCTGCAGCAGCAAGAAGGCACCACGGGAGCCTACTGGAACCCTGGATACTGCTGCTGTTGCTGTTGCTGCTGCTCCCGTTGAGCATCGTTTGTATCTGTAAAGCAGCCTTATGCTAGAGTTCCGGTTGGTGGCTATTCTCCAAGACCCGCAAGCATGCAACCCCAAGCATGCGCGCATGCATGCATGTTGCGGGCTGTGCTGCCGGCTGGTGGTAAAAGGAGGGCCACTGTTGCAGCATGTGGCTACGTATATGGAGCTGCATGCATGCATGCATTGCCCTGCAGCTTGCTTCTGCATGCATCAAAATGCATCAAAATGTGGGGTGTAGTTAGACTGCTGCTGCCTTTTTCTTTATTATCGCTGCCGTTGCTGCTATTGCTGCTTATGGCGAGAAGAAGATTTGCCTACAGCAAAGCAGCTGATATTAAAATGACGACACAAAAGAGAGACAGTAGACAGCAGCAAACTGACAAGATAGATGCCGCTCCACAGGAGCACGCCCAGAAGCACCGCATCTGCATAGGGGCGTAGCGGCAGCAGCAGCTGTTGCAACAGCTGCTGCAGCGGGGGCAACATATAAGGCAGCAACACCGCCCCCACTCCAGATGAAGCAGGAGACACACAATACAGAAAAACGCAGCAAAACCAAAATGGCAGTACCGGCCACTGCACAGGGAAAAAATTCATCTGCATGCAAACACAGCAGCAGCAGCAGCAGCAGCAGGCATGAGCAGGAGCACCAGGAAAAAGAGTAGCAAGAGAACTACACCTCACCCACCCTCCCCGTTCAGAGCTGTAAGTATGTACCCGTGGTAGCCGCAGCAAACCATCAAAAGCTGCAGCTGCTGCCGTAGCCAATCTATAAGGGTACCTAGCTGGCCAGCTAGGTAGCTAGCTAGGTAGTAGCTAGCTGTGGAGACTTGCCCTGCACGTGGCCGAGAGGTTTAAACGCAAGGCGATAATGGAGGTGTTGCAAATTATAGCCCAATAACACAGCACGGGATGCTCAGATATCATTGCTGCAGCAGCAACAGCAGCAGCAGCAGCAGCAACAGCAGCAACAGCAACAACAGATATGCTCCAGTCCAGTCCAAAATAAACTTCGTCCCTGCTCTCTGCTGCTACTGCTGCTGCTACTCCCGGTACGATTAGTATAACTTTTATTACGACGACTACTATGACTGTTGCTGCTGCTGCTCTTGCTGCTGCTGTATAATACCCATGTGCTTACTAGAAGAGTAGAGAGGAATATGCATTAATACATGAACTAAACAACCCAGCAGCTGAGCTGCAGCAAAACACCCAAACAACAAAGAATGGCAAACCCTAACAACAAACAAACAGCAGCAGCAAGCAGCAAGCAGCAGCAGTACCAACAGCAGCAGCAGCACTAACTGCAGCAGCACTAACAGCAGCAGTAATTACTAGTAGGATCGTATGCAGCAGCCTGCTTGCATGCATGCATTCGTGCATGCATGTAGTGTACGTACAGACTGCTTTGGCTGGTTTTGCTGCAAGTCTGCTGCCGTTGACGACGTCAGCAAAAAGCATTCCAATGAGCAGCAAATAAAAAGGAAAAGCTAAGAAGGCTTGAATAGGCAAGGACAACAAATACTGCGGCGCCGTCTTCCTGCACAAAACCCCAAACCCTAAACCCTAAACCCTAAACCCTAAACTATAAACTTGGATCCTGCAAACTTATTCACCCAGAGTGGCTGTATATTGTGCGCAACAAACAAACACTACCTTCACTCGAACACCTAAACCCTAAACCCTAAACCCTAAACCCTCACAGAAATAGAGAAGGGGCGACGTCGCCGAACGATGTGGTGAAGGTTTCAGGGCCAAAGATGAGACTGACGAGATTCATGCCCATCATCTGCACACAAACAAACAGCCCTTAACACTGTATGCTGCTGCTGCTGCTGCTGCTGTTGCTGTTGCTGCTGTTGGTGCTGCTGTTGCTGCTATTGTTGCTGCTGCTGTTGCTGCTGCACCTACCACAAGTTGGCCTTCTGTCACGCCAGTGACACCCGTGTGACAGCGATATTCGTGGAAATGAAGTTCCCACCACTGCAGCACAAACCCTAAACCCTAAACCCTAAACCCTAAATCTTAAACCCTAAACCCTAAATACTGACAATACGGACTCGCGATGAACGGCAGCACCACTAAAGGCCAATGTGGTCGTCGTCGTCGTCAGCAGCAGCAATTGCAGCAGCAGAGGATCTATGTGAGGTGTACGTACAGTATAGATAAACAGCTGCATTTGCAAAATAGCAATAAGCATAAATGCAGCAACAGATTGTCCGATCCTAATCGTCCCTAAAACACTTAAGGCAGCAAACACCTGATAAGCACACAGACAGACACAGCAGCACCTGCTGCTGCTATTGCACCTGTTGCTTCTGGTGCTGCTGGACGGTGCAGCTGAAGTAGGCATAGGTTGCAGCAGCAGCAGCAGCAGCAGTAGCACCACCAGGCTGGTTGGTGAGCTTGCACCCCTTTCCCCCTGCGCTACGCAATTCGTCTGAACTGCCAACCTAAAACCTAAACCCTAAACCCTAAACCCTAAACCCTAATAGGTGTCAACATACAGTGGAGAACGAATCGCATCCATGGTCAAACAGCTGCCCTAAAGGTGTTGACGTATTCGTGCGTCGCGCTTGCTTCCCGTCTATGGCATCGAGGGTCTGCAGCAACAGCAGTAGCAGCAACAGCAGCAGCAACAGCAGCAGCAACAGCAAAATGTCCCATACAACTCTTGCAGCCCATGATGTAATAACCTTAGCAGCAGCTCCAGCAGCCAATTCAGCAGCCGCCGTTACTGCAGCAGCAGCCGATACAGCAGCAGCAGCAACAGCAACAGGAGAGGCTTGCCTGGGATAAGAATAGAAGAAGAATATTAGCAGCATATACCCATGTAGGTGCTGCCTCTGATAGAGTTGGCATATAGACACAGGTAAGGCCCATCAGCAGCACAGTACACACAAACCCTAGCAGCGTCAGCAGGTTAGGGCTCACCCACTGCAGCAGCAGCAGCAGCACAAGCAGCAGCAGCAGCACCACCACCACACACATAGAGGCACAAAAAGGTCTATTATAAGAATTCACCAGAACAAACAAAACCGCAAAACCGCATGCAGCAACAGCAGCAGCAGCAAGAGCAGCAGCAAGAGCAGCAGCAAGAGCAGCATACCAGGCGACAGTATTCCAGAAAGGATTAAGGAGACGACCACCAACACCAACACCAACAGCAGCAGCAGCAGCACCACCAACACCAACACCAACAGAAGCAGCAGCAGCAGCACCACCACCAGCAGCAGCAACAGCAACAGCAACTGCAGCAGCAGCAGCAGCAGCAGCAGCAGCAGCACGAGCGTACTAGAGGTACATAAGAGACGACAGTATTCCAGAAAGGATTAAGTAGACGATCAATTGGTGTACAACCAGCAGATACATATTTATAATTATTTAATTGTTCTAGTCCTTCTTTATTTATATAATTAATCAAGGAGACACCCATCTTCTCTATTTATTTTATTTATTATATTTATTTATTTTATTTATTTATTTATTTATTTATTTATTTATTTATATACAATTATATATGCTGCAGAGAAAGCAGCAAAAAAATGTACGCTAATTCAGGTGTATACGCATACACCCGATATAGGGAACGATAAGAGGAAACAGATACAAGAAAAACAAATCAATTCACGCTCGTGCTGCTGCTGCACCTGCTGCTGCTGCACCTGCTGCTCCTGTAGGGGTACTGCGTAGAAAGTACTTCCTTTTCAATACAGCTGCTGCTGTTGCTGCTGCTGCTGCTGCGGCGGCTGCTGCGGCTCCTGCTGCTGCTGCTGCTGCTTGTGTGCAATCTTTCTACTAATCTTTGGCAGTTATCCCCGTAAGAGATTTGCGGTGTACGTACACCCGGGCACGTCGGGGTAACAGCCCCAACAAGTGCCTCTACGTTAGCTGTTTGCATGCAGGGAATATAGCATATAAGAGGCAGCAGCCTGTCCTGCTGTTGCTGCTGCTATTGCTGCTGCTGTTGCTGCTGTTGCTGCTGTTGTTGCTGGTGGTGTTGCTGCTGCTGCGGCGGCTAGGGAGTCCTCTGGGGGACATGAGGCACAAGAAGAAAGGCAGCAGCAGCAAACCGTTTATCTCTTACTAGAAAAGGAAAGAAAAAGAAAGAAAAAGAGAGAAAAAGAAGAAAGACAGCGGCCCCCAGTTTGCTGCTGCTGCAGCGCATGCAGTTGCTGCTGTTGCTGCACTGAAGAAATGGAGAGATAAAACAAACAAACAAATTAAAAAATAAAATTATATTGGCATGCAACTGCTCTGCATGCATGCATGCATGCATGCAAACCCTACGCCTTAAGGTGTATACGCAGACACCGTAGTAGCTACCTATGGCTTTGGGGCTCGATGGGGTTGTATAGTGTTTCCTCCTCCACCAAAACCGTAAACCCTAAACCCTAAACCCTAAACCCTAAACCCTAAAATAAATTTTAAGCACTCATTAAACACTTCGTTATCCCCTTCTTATGCATGCAAACAGCAGCAGCAGTCAGGTGTACCTACACAACAACTAACCGCATAGGGGGCACGAGGGGGGAGAAGGGGGGAGACAAAAGGGCCCTGTCTTGTCTTTTTATGTAGCGGTTTAGAGTTTAGGGTTTAGGGTTTAGGCAACAGTTCAGGTGTACGCGCACGTGCCTATGATGATGATCCCCTAGCTAGCTGCTAGCTACCTGCTAGCTAGCTGCTGCAGATGAGAAAATTAAAGCAGCAGCAGAAGCTCTGCTGCGGCGTACATACATCTCCGCATGCATGCATGCATGCATGCATGCATAGAGGACCCGATAGTCAGCTCTAGCTAGGGCTAGCCATGGATAGCTAGCTAGCTGTGGAGCTATAGCCACTGTGGAGCTATAGCCACATACTGGTGTGGGGCCACAAATGGCTAGATACGCCTATCTGTTATCTGTCCGTGGCTAGCTACGGCTAGCGGTGGCTAGCTACAGCTAGCTATAGCTAGCTAGCCGTGGTTAGCTAGCTGCGATTAGCTAGCTGTGGCTAGCTAGCTGTGGCTAGCTGTGTTTGGCATAAGGAAAGCTACGGCGGTCTATGCATGCAACCTGCTGCTGCTGGGAATGCTGCTTCTGTAGGATTAATGCTTCTGCTGCTGCTGCTGCTATTATTGCTGCTGCTGCTGCTGCTGCAGCAAGTAACGAGGGGAGAGCGTCAATCAACAGAAATCCTCTATTGCCTCAACTCAGCGAGGACCGGTTTGTCTAAACCCTAAACCCTAAACCCTAGTTCCTTAAGGGAGAAGAGGCAATGGAGATAAGTAGGCAAAATGCATTATAAGAAACCCTCAATATAAAAGGAGGGCATGAGGGTTTAGGGTTTAGGTCGAGCCCCTCCTCAGGCTGCTCAAACCCTAAACCCTAAACCCCCGTGTTTGTATATAAATATATATATTTATATAAGATAAACCCTCGTAAATATACTAGGGGGGAATATATTATGTGTATAAGGAGAAGAAATTAATCCCTGTTTATCCTGAACCCCTCCTTCGACAGCTCAAACCCTAAACCCTAAACCCTCATGTCTTATGTAAGATAAACCCTCGTAAATGTACTAGGTGGGTATTTATTTCTTGAATAAGGAGAAGAAATATATCCCTATTTATCTTGAACCCGTCCCTCCCCAGCCTGCTCAAACCCTAAACCCTAAACCCTCATGTCTTATGTAAGATAAACCCTCGTAAATGTACTAGGTGGGTATTTATTTCTTGAAT